TATAAAGTTTTAAATAATTTGAATAATTTTTTATTAATTTATAAACAAAAATATGCATTTTAAAAAATTCCAAAAAGGTTTGTTATATACTGTATTTTATTTATTTATTTTGAAAAAAATTATGAAAGAATTTTAGTTATTGTAATTACTTTTTAAATTATTTTTTGAGTGTTTTTTTGTGATTTAATATTTTTAATTCTTGAGTTCTTTTAATAAACTTTCTTAAATTGAGATATAATATAATATATATAATATTTTATCTATATTTTTTTATAATACAACTATTGTCTTATTATTTACTCTTCTTATATATCCTCTGGCTATATACAAAAAAGATATTTATAAAAAGTTTCTCTACTTTTTTATTAACAAAGTCATAACACTTTTTTTAAATTAACTTAAAAAGAATTTCAAGCATTATCCTATTTTTTTTCCTTTTTGTCAACATTTTTCTTTAAACAAAAACTTGACCTTTGTAATCTAAAGTTATAAAAACCCTTCTTATCAATAGCAAAAAAATTCTGAAAGAAAAAAAAAGAAGTTCTGCTACCTATCTATATATAGTGAGACATTATAATATTTCTTTTATATAAAAGATTTGTTATTAATGCATGATATTTACTTTTTTGTTACTAAATTGAACTCTAATAATATTTTTTCTCAATTTTTTTTTTTTTTAGAAAATTTTGCATATTTTAGGTACACGCTTGGTGTATTCTTGATTAACTCTAGTTTTTTTTATAGAATTCAAATTTTTATTATGTTTCTGGATAACTTATATAAAGCATATAAGTGATATATTTTTAACTATATGACAAACCTTCGTGTATTTTTTGATATCCATTTGATTACTAAACCGTTTTCTGATACGGAGGATAGCGACTCTGGATGCGAAGCGTAGCGGAGCATAGCTATCTATTTTGGTTACTAAAATGTTTTCTGACACAGAGGAGCATAGCGACTTCGGATGCGAAGCGTAGCGGAGCATAGTTATTTTGATTACTAAATGTTTTCTGACATGGATGAGCATAGTGATTCTAGATGCAAAGAATAGTTATCTATTTGATTACCAAAAAGCTTTCTGACACTGAGAAGCATAGTAACTCCGGATGCGAACCATAGTTATCGTATTTATTAGCTAATCGGCTTTCTGTTACTGTGAGCATGAACCTTTAGGTGAACGTGAAACATAGTTATCTATTTAGTTAACAATTTACTTATTACGTATACAGTATATAAGAAATTATATTTTAAGAAATGAGCTTTGCTCTAGGTACAGTACATGCTTGGTGCTTTTTTTGACTAACATTATAATGAAACTGATAGTAGAAAATATAGATAAATTTTAGGTACACGACTGGTGTATTTTCGGCTATAGGTTTTTTAACCGATTTGAAAGCATTTGTAATATATACATATCTGGCTTCGAATGATGCAATTATAAGGTGGTTCCGAGCATAAAATTACATAACATAATATCCTTTAGCATGTTTTTTACAAGTACCGGGTGCAGAAGAAGTTGGTTTACCACATACCTTACATGCTATACGTTTTTTAGCTTTCCAATGTTCATGAAATCCTTTAGCATGTCGATATTCACGTCCACAGACTTTTCCAGAGTTATATATATTCACATGTATATTTTCCACTTGGTTTTTCGATATATTCACTAAATATTTTGATAAATCTTATAAATGAATAATTTAAACAAAAGACCTGGTTATATCAATAAAAAAGATGGAATGCATATTACTATAGCTAAGATGCTTAAATATCCGGGATGTGATCGAGAAATAAAAACCAGTAAAACCTGGGATCTTAATAAACACATGAATTTAAATATAAACCTTCGTAAAGGACGATGTCTTTCGGCTTTGCGTTTAATGCAAAATCTTTCTCAAGCTCCAGTAGGAAATCTAGTTAATCAAAATCTTACTGAAAACCCAACCTCAGCACAAAATCCCCCTCAAGCAGAAAACACTACACCGGAGCAAAATGCACCTCAAGCAGAAAACGCTACACCGGAGCAAAACCAAGCCCCAGAAGGTGATCGTATATCATTTGACGAAAACCCACTGACGTACTAGCTAAGAGAGGCAAGAAAACCGGCTGTCGATCTTTTAACTGGTGATATTCCAAATATAGAAGCTGAGCCAGGTTTCAATGCTCAAGCTCTTATAAAGCAAAAAAAGAAGCAATTTATAACAATAGATGACTTAATAAAATGGTTAACAAAACCGAAAAACAAAAATAATAAAGAGCTTAGATCAAAGCCTATTCCTAAAACAGATAATGAAAATCAAGTAATTTAGAATATTATACAGCAGACGAGGATCCGGATGTCTACTTTGAAAAAATCAAAGAAAGATCCATACATTAATAGAATAACAGAAACTGAAAATTTTAATGAAGGTGAGGTATGTGATTATTTTGCTTTTGTTTCAGAAGGATATTATGCTGAGAATGAATCACTGGCATTCTTTGAATCAATCGAGGAAAGGATTGAGAATATACAGTATATAAAAAAGAATTAACTTTAAAGGGAGGATTAAAGATAAGAATCATATTAATAGTATACATGAATAAAATTATACCAGAATCTCAAGATCCTATATATAAATAATTCCCTTTTAAACATGAAACGATTGAAATTATCAGAGAATATCGAATCGGAGGTGTCATGATAAGGGATATAATGAAATTATTGGATCATTATGAGGAAGTAGTTATTTACCTTTATCAGAAGCTTTGGATAAACCTCAATTAGGATTGATTATTCCGCAAAATAATGATGATAATGAGTGTTTTAAGTGATTTATTAGTGCACATCATACAAGAGAGGAAGCATTAAAAGCAAATAAAAAACCTCCTCATCTCAATGAAATCCGAAGACTTAGACGAAATGGAAACATAGCAAATTTTGAAGGTATAAAATTTCCAGCAACACTATATGATGTTAATAAATTCGAGGAAAATAACCCAAACTATGCTATAAATATATTAAGACCAGTTTATAGTAAAGCTTTTGGAAAAATAAAAGTAGATATAGACCCATTACATATTTTAGAACGAAATTATCAGGTCGAACATACAGTATGATAGATTTGTTGTATTTAACAGAAGGTGAGGAGAATTTAAATGATCGAAAAAATCCTAATGATATACCAGAAGGACTTAAAACGCATTATGTACTTATAACTGATTTTACACGATTAATGCATAAATGGAATAATAATCATCATGGAAAAAAAATACTTTGTCAAAAATGTTTGCAATTCCCATACAGCAGATTAGATTTATTAGAAAAGCACATTCTAACATGTCCAGGTCCAAGTAAAGCTCCACAAACGTTTGATTCTTCCAGAAGAGGGCAAAAATTATGTAAAGCCTAAATATATAAAAAATATGCTAGTGAAACCTTATTTAATTAGAAGCAGAAGAAATCGAAGAAGAGGAAAAGGATAATGAAGGAAATATTATAAAAGTAGCAGAGCAAATAGCAATTTCATATGGATATGCGATACATTGTTCAGATGAATCAACACAAAAGCCAATAATTAATTGAGAATCAAAGAACGTTATAAAAGACTTGATAGAAAACCTTAAAAAATATTTGGATGTTATTTTAGATAAGCTTTGTTCATTTTCCAAGTTTATATAGGTGGTCACAAAATTTACAAAAACCAAACGACCCATTCAACTGGCTAGACAATCTTAATGAACCATGGATGAGAAAACTTATAACGGAATTCATTATGTGGCTGTTCAGATACGTTCTAATGCAAAAAAACGTATTTATTAAACATATTTTTACATAGACATCAGGGAACAGTAACTCTGTACGGTGCGACGGGCAAGATGGTAAGATTGCCTTACTTTAGACCGGTCTTGGTGATTACAATATGGGACGCTATATGTCTACTGTGGGCATACTACATAAGTCGACCTCCAAGGAAAATTTTCAAGGAACAGATCACATATTTGGTGAAAATGTTGGACCTCCTTTGCAAAAAGATTTTAGAAATGGAGAAGGTCCTGGCTCTCCCAATCACGATAAATCTCACATTTTCGGCACGAAACGGGAAGATTCTGAGATACTTTTTCGGGGCAAAAGTTCGTTGTGGGGAAACGGGACAAACGGGAAAGCTGATATACGATATGAACAAACTGGCGTCAAAGACGAGAGTGGAAATGATGCCGTTGAATGTTCCAATCGAGAAAAAATTCGAGAACTGCAGTCAAGCTTGTGGAAATTGTTCCGAGACAGTACCTTGGACGGCTCTGTATGGACAAAGGAACACGTTCAAACGCCGTGTTATCTTGTACTCCCAAACAATGAATCTAAAGTCGAACATGATCGTTTTTCCGTGTGCCAAGTGTCAGTTTGTGCGGGACTCGATATTAAAACACCGTGCAATGATTCTCCCATTATAGTTGAACGAATAAGTGAATCTGATAGTATTCGTGTGGCAACCTCTCTTCACCTTAAGCTCCAAACTGAAGATCCTCAAGAAAATTCTATGAAAGAGCTTCATTTTAATCATATTATCATCATCGGAAAACGTTATTGTGGCATGCCTTTTATGGATTGTTCTGGTCGCGTGTTTGATTGAGATTCAGCGAATGATGCATTGTGGCTTCTCGGGGATTATTTCGAAATTATATCAAAGGATGAATCTGAGGAATATGGTCGGATAGCATGGGGCGTCTTGGATAACGGAACTGTGATTGAGCTCGAAAAATGTATGTATATATTTGTAGTTTGAGCTAGATAAATTAACGAGTATATTTAAACATCGTACCTTTATTTTGAAACTGTAAAGCTAATAAAGTTTCGGGCTTATTTTTTTTTACGTACGCATGCGAACATATTTAACAATGAAATTGAGTTGCGAAAATAATGCACCTGATATTTAAAGTTTTAATTTTATTCAATGAGCCCCAATTCTCTAAGATGCTCTAGGATAACTATATATAAGTCTTCGTAGTACCAGACATATCTTAAAACAATCCAGTTTTTCTTCGCACAATTCTTCCTTGAGTTGATCCCGTGCTTGCGTCGGATAAAATTATTGGGATCGCCTTTATGAAAGAATTTTATATATCTTTCGTGTTGTTCTCCTTGTACTTCGGTTGCAAATTCATATTGCGGGTAATAGATGTCAAGTTCTAATCCAGTTGGGTGATCTAACGTTTTAAGAAAATCAGGTCTTTCACGTTTATATATAGAGCATTATGGGCACCAATAGTTCCTATACTTAATATCACTGAGGGGTGTGAGCCATTCGTGTGATTTGGAACATTTCCAATGCAAATATGTTTTATGGTTGGTGTACACATTGGATAAACACTCTCCATCTTTACTACGTGCTAATTTTTTGGCACAAGTCTTGCAGATTCACGTACACAATGTGGGCACCAAGTCCCTCTTTGAATACTATCAATCCGAGCAAACCATGAATGTCCTTCAGAACATCTCCAAGAGAGTGAGTACGCCTGTTATGATAGGAATCAGAAAGACACGTCCCACCCCTTTCATTTGCAAAATTCTGAGCGAATTCAAGTCCAAGTTTCATGCACTCACGACACCAACTCTTTCCATTTTTAACATCTGAAAGCGATAGGTGAAATTGATGATTATTTTCACATTCCCATAATAGAGGTGAATTATTATTAACATATTTTTCAGAAATAAATTTTCCGTTTCTAGTATATGCAATTTGCTTAGCAATTTCAAGAGTAAGTGGTTTTCTATGAGCACAGTCTGGACACCACTTGTTACAGTATTATATTTTTTAATATAAAGATTTTTAAGATTCTTTTTGTTTTCTTATATATTTTTACAAATATTATTAAATATCCAAATAGATAGTTCCATAAAATTAAATCTTAAAATATTAATAATTTATGAATAAGTATTTAATAAAACTTTTATAAAAAAACTTTTAATAATATAATAGATCTTATAGTTATTATATTATAAATTTATAGTTTTAATTTATTATAAATATTAAATAAATATTTTTATTTTTTATTTACAACTATATTATATGGTTTAATCTTTATTAAGAAATTTATGTAGCTATCAATAATATTATAGTTTTTCATATAATAATTAACTTATTATTATACTTTTTTTTTTTAAACCCATAGATAAGCCAGCATAGTATATTTATTAATCTTTAAAAAAATCAATAGAGATATATTGGACAATTATATTATGACTAAACTAAATCTTATGTTGACTCACTTGTCAACAACTTTCAATTATCAAATAAGCTTAAGTCTTTAAGTGTAACCTTGAGAACAATATTTTATTATAGAATAAGTTTTGGGTAAATATCATCCTAACTTATTTATTATTGCTAACAAATTATCACTATATATTATCTTCCAAGAAATTGATTTTTGAGAAACTACAATAGAGAAAAAAAAAACAAAAAAAAAGGGAATATTTAAAAATATACAAATATATGTACATGAAGAGAAAAAAATAAATAAATAAAGTGCTTCATATTTTCAAAAGAACCTCTATTAGAATTCTCCTCTTATTAGAATTTAATTTTTCTAGAATATATTTTTTTCTGACCATCTGAAGAACTTATTTATCCATGATTTTAATTATTTTCTTGTGCTTATTTGAGATACTTATTGCCTATTTGAATTCAATATTTTGTTTGACACTTTTTTTTGATATTGATTTTATATCCACACATGTCCTAATTACAATTATAATAAACTTCAAGTTCTTATATAATCTTTCGATTATGTTATATAACTACTGCACTAGTTGAAAAAAAATTATTCGGCATACTATTACTCATGTAAAATTTGACAAAAAATAAACAATTTGATAAAAAAATAACATAAATAAACTGGTAACTATATAATTTAACTATAAATATTACGAAAATTGATATATTAATAATTTATCAAAAAATTTATGAACAATTTATCAAATAATTTATTAATTATTCAATAAAAATTTATTAAAAGTTTATCATAAAATTATTTATTAACAATTCATTAAAAATTCAGCATTAATTTATTAATTATTTATCAAAAATTTGGCAAAAATTTATTAATAATTTATTAATAATTTATTAATAATTTGACAACTATTTATTAAAAATTTATCAACTATTCATTAAAAATTTAACAACTATTCATCAAAGCTATTCATTAAAAGTCCATTAACCATTCATTAAAAATTCATCAATTATTCATCAACAATAAAGTAAAAAAATTGATAAATTTATATGTATATTTTTTTAATGAAATTTATATTTATAAATTATAAATAATATAAGCTATAATATACAGTAATACATAATCTTTTTTTTTTTACCTTCTAATCAGATTTTACCAGTTATCCTGTGAAAGTTGTACCCAATTATCTGGAACAAGATCCAATCAGATTAGGCTACAAAAAGACAGAACTTCTGACCTTCTATCAATCAAAGGCTAAAATTAGGGATCACAATTTTTATTTGAAACCAAATGATCCATAGATTTGATTCAAATGGATCAGATCAAATTTTAAATTTTTTGATCCAAATCAGATATAGATTTCAAATTTTGAAATCCAATCCAATTCATTTAGATCAAATTCACTGATTATTCAATTTTGGATAAAAATTGCGATTTCTAGTTTAAGGTTATGGTGGAAAGAACCTATGGCTAGGAATATTGGTGATTCATTTTAAATTTTATTTTTTTTTGTTATATTGTTTAATATATTGTCAGAACAATATTTATTGTTTAGACTTTTTATAAGGTAAAAAAAAAATTTTAATGAAATAAGCAACCTGTATATTGCACACTTATAAAATAATACTGTTATAGCATCCAATATAATACTGATATAGATCAATTGATATAAGTTGCTATAATTGTTTGAGTAGATAGTAATTATTAAAAATCGATCAATGTAAGAGTGATCTACAGTAGAGAAACATAATTGAACAATAAATAAAAAAAACTTTTTTCAATTTTTTTGTCAATTTTTTATTTTGCTTCCTTTTATTTTTATTGCTTTACCATCCCTACTGCCAAGTATCTTGCCTAGGAATTTTTTTTTTACCTGCAAATATTTTTTTCCTATTTTTTGCTAGTTTTTGAGAAAATATATACACCTCTTTATATATTAACTAAATGATCAATTTTATTTAAATATATACTGCTGCCTGTCACTATATAGTTACAAATAAAAGTATATTTTTATCACTTGCTAATGTTTTTATAACTGTTACATTAACTATCTTTGCTTTTGCTGCGACTGTATACTCAGTTCTTTTTTTTTTGACTAAATAAACTGGCACCTTTTTAACTACTTTAACTGGTATTTTTTATTGATTAAATAACTTGATACTTTAATTATTGAAAAAACCTTTATATTGATTCACTGTTCCCACTATATTTATAGTCAAGTAAATACAAGACATTCAATATTTTGTTGCTGCTATACCTTATATTTATTTTAAAAACACTGATATAGGTAATACGATGCATATCTTGAAGAAACAAAAACAAATCGAAGCTAATGGTGAGTAAATCAATCAAAAGGGAAGAACAAAAACCAAAGAGTCTTTTATATAGCAAGTCTATAAAGTTGCTTTCAATGGGAAACCCTGGACAAATACTTGTAGTGAGAAACCCTGAACTAATATATTAAATTTTGTCAATAAAATATTAAGCAAGTTTAAACTTGTTATATAGTTGCTACTACCTCCAGTGGAAAACCTATGGACTAAAGTAAGACTCTCGAAAATATTTAAGCAGACATTTGTATAGTCATAAGTTGAATTGTCGACAATTTAACTTACAGTTAGGTTATCAATTCCCTATTGTACTGGCAAGTTGTATATGTACATATATACAGTAGCTAATACCTGTTTTTTAAATATATATAGAAATTTATACTACTGTCTTACATTTTCTTATGTCATTAAAAAATGATAACCCTAAAGAGTATGTTACCTGCTTGCAGTATTTTTTCACTAAATTAACAAGTATTCATCTGGCTATGTCAGATCCTAATATTGATTCTTTTTCAAATGTAAATATATCAAAATATATATACTTTCTGTATATATTTTATTAATGCTAATAAAAAAATAGAAAAATTGGTGGAGAGAATTTATGAGATTCCTGAGATTTTGTCATACTGATAATATAGAAACTGTAGCTGTTTTGAAAGCAAACATCGATGAATCGAAAAAAAATAAAATAAAAATACATAAAAATTTTATAAGTTCAAATAGTTTTAATAATAAAAAACCTAGTTAACACCTTTATATTTCAGATAAGGAAGAACATAATAACACAAAAACACTTTGCTGATGTTCATGATGTAAAAACGATATTTTTTGAGTCCCTGCCTGGATATAATGAAAAAAAAATCAAAGAAAAGTGGGTGTATAAAAAAGTAAATCTGCTGTCTTTATATGTACAAGTCATCGATGCTATCTTCTACTTGTCAAATATAATAAAAAAAAATAAGGAAACTATAATTCGTGATAAAGATTTAAGCAAGGTAGTGCTTACTATATATCATAATCAGATTGGACCTGAAGTTTTAAATATTATGCAAGATACAATATTGAAAATGTTC